CAATCTGTTTTGCCTTCTTTTCCAGCCTTTCCTGTAGAGAAGCAGTGGCTAATTTGCCTCCTGGACAAGGAAAGCCCAGAGCCAGTGTCTCACACTCACCTTGCTGTCACAGCAATGCCATGTTTCTTGCTCCACATGCCTCCCACACGAACGATCTCACAAAAAGCCCTGTGCCGATGCAGCATCTGTATCAAAGCTGTGTTACCCACAAGCACTAGGAATGCCCCTGCAATGCACTGCGCTCTGCAGGTCTGCTACAAATCTAATGGAAAGGGGGAGAGCAGGGGGTGGGGATGATGCCGAGGAAGAACAAAGGAGCTGGAGCCTTTCCACCCCCCCTGCCATCAGCACCATCCTCCTCCTTATGCGCGCTGTGGACTGCACAGCACCAGAGCACCATGGGCTGTGCCCATGCTGCAGTCACCAGCACAGCAGCTAGGGCTGGACCCGGGCTATTGAAGCCTTGCTCACAGTCATCAGCTTCCCTTCACAGCAACCACTCATGATGAACTGTCCCTACACCTCACACAAGTTTTAAGGGAAAATTGTAAAGTCTAGAGACAGTTGAAGTAGTCCTGTGTGTGGTTGGGTTCTTCTGATTTACCAAATCAGCTTTGTTGGAGCCAACTCCAGCCACACACAGCAGCTCCATCGCAGTGTAGGAGAAACATCTCCTAGACCTTCCCAGCCGCAGGAGCAGATACACCGGTGCACGGAGGGCACTGGGTCTGGGTGGCACTCCTGACATGGCAGGCAGCCATCTCTGTGCTTCCCGAGTGACACAACAGCCGTATCCCTCCTGGGTGCAGCAGAAACGCTCTCTAACTTCTCTCTGAGCATTTTAGATGACGCTGTTTAGGAGCAACGTGAATTCAGACCATACTCCCGATCCGAGGGAGTGAAGCACGCTGGAGGTGGCCCTCGGGGGCTTTTCTGAGCCGTAACATGCAGCGAGTGAGCTCGAAATGACGGAACCACGCATCTCCTCCAGGGAGGACGGTCAAAGAAATTCCGCGAAGCTGCTAGTCACTCTGCCTGTCTTCTGCTTCGCAGTCTGAGATGGATAGTGTCTCCGAGCAAAGACGACAGAGGGAGGGTGCGGGGCTGGGGCGGCTCTGGGGGCCGCAGCACCCCCGAGGGGCGCTGACGGAGCGTGGCCGCCAGGGGGCGGCGCAGCCCCGCGGGACCGGCCCGGCCCAGCCCCGCCGTGTCCCCTCCCTCTGCTCCCCGCCCCCTGTTCCCTTCCCTTCCCTCTGTTCCCCCCCCTCTGCTCCCCGTCGCTGCCCCAGCGCGCCCGTGACACGCTCCCGCCGGTATCCCGACGAGCCATGGTCACGGCACCCCCGCCTTGCTCCCGAGCTGGAAACGCCGGAGGTGGCGGGGAAGGATCCTGCTGATCTGGGGAGCGCTCAGCAGTGATGAGTCCAGGTGAGTTTTCCTGGCAGTGTGCAGTGCCGACCCCAGCCAAGTATCCATGAGGATGGGACTCACGGAGAAAATCTTAAGGCTCACTAATCTAGAGAAGGCAAGAGAAGACGTGACAATGTTTAAACAGATGAAGGCTGCTACAAAGGGAAAGTTGTCCTCCAGTCCCACACAGCATCAGCTACTGGGCTTGGAATCAGGCAAACACCAGTTTAGGTCAGATGCTTGAATAACGTTTCTAATGCTCAAGATTTTCTTTTTTGGGTGGTAGGGGTGATTTTTTCTTTATTACCAGTTCTTAAAAATCTGTCGTGACCTGGACAGACATATGGCCATCCAGGAAACAGCCTGGAACCTTCCCTGGCAATCTGCTCAGGCGCTGATTCAAATGTTGCACTGGGTCTCTATTTGCTACAAACTAGAAATCACTGAAGACATTCGAGCTCTTCTGGCTGATGTCATCATTACTCCTTTCAATTCTTCAGAAACCTTATGTAAAAATAACTTGTTAAGAAAGAGAAAGAACAGGGCAGAGTGGATGGAAGATGAAGGCAGAAGGGAGGGAAGAAAAGAAGGAAAGACAGGAAGGAAGGGCAGGCAGAAGTGCACTTAACTTCCCCTCCTCGTTCCTAGTCCTAGAAATTCCAAAAATCCCTGGAAATTCTTATGCATTAAAACAGTGGCATGTTCATGAGGAGCCTTTCTGGCTCCTTACACAACAAACTTACTTTAGATATACTGTGCTGTGGCTGGTAAACATTCCATGAGGATCAGTTTCAGTATAAAAAAGAAGTGTATTTGAGTAGAGTTGAATGAAGAAATCCAGGAATCTCTACCATGCCCTCTCTTCACTACTGGCATTTGCCATTGATCTCAAAACAATCCCACATCAACAGCATCATTTAAAGAAGATATTCAATTTATTAAATGTTAAGAACATGATTTACATGTCACATTAGGCTTCTCAGAAGACACCAGTGACTCATCTTGCAATTGCTAATTAATGGAGTATTCAATTACCACAACTCTCTCATTCATTACTCACAACAGAGCAGAACCCAATTTACAGCCACACAGGCTCTTGCAGAGACACCACAGTTGTCAGAGGGATCCCTGGCACAATCCTGGCTCAAGGGAACCTCTGAGACCTCCTGCTGGCAGAGGTCCTTGCTTTTGATAAACTTCCTCCCATTTCAGCGCTCCCTCTCCACTTTCAGAAGTGCTGTACACCACAAGCAAAGCTGAAAGGGCACAGGCAGAATCTCCAGCCACATTGTTTCATGTCAGTAGAGACCTGCATCTTACTTTAGTCCTTGTAAAGGCATGTTCAGCCAGCACAGCTCTTGCTGAGCCAGCAAAGGAAACACTGCCTGAAGTAAGTATACACAAAAGTACCGACACTGTTGACATAATCAGGGTGCAGCATCACAAGCTAAAATAAAATCAGGCCAGCAAAGGTTCACACTATTCCCAAAAGCACAGGGCTTGTCAATCAGATCAGATCAGGTGAGGCATTTCCTGCAGGCTAAGGCAGTGCTCCCATGCTCTGACTAAAAAATCATTGAACTTTTGCATCTAGGAAGCTTGGGAAGAGATATGTATTCTGTCAAGGGGCTCACAGAGTTTGAACAAAACACCATTGGTGGGGTAGTAGGAGGATCTGCAGTCAAAAAAATACTGAGCTGTCACTCAGTATCAGTATCAGCTTGAACCAAACACATGACACTGCAAATAGCTGGGGCTTGAGTCTAAGCCTGGCACACACTGATAGCTGAGCAAATCTGAGGATAAAATCTGTGATCAGCAGTATAAGGGACCCTACTGCAACTTGATATTCAGGCTGCTGAGCATAAGGGCCTCTCGTGCTGCTTAGCCAATGTTCACAGGGCTTTACCTGCTACAGGACAGCCCTGGGGAAGATCTGGCACCACAGAAAGCCTGTGGCTGGGCAAGGCTGATGGCTGGAAAAGGTGGGATTAGAAGCAGACTCAGAAGCAAGCTGCTGTGGTCAGGGGGAGCAGCTGCATCTGGGGCTGATGTCCTTGGATGCCAATAAAGCCATCAGGCACGCTCCTCAAAAGCATCAATCAACTTGTTCTGATCTAGCAGAGTGTCCCATCTTTCTTGGTGGCCTTCACTTATCAGTTGTGGAGGGGGAAAAAAAAGTCTTTGGAATCAGTGTACAGCTCTGGATTAAAATGCCCAAAGTGATTTTTTTTCCTTTTATGTCAGACATTGGATAGTTCTTCCTCAGAACTGAAGGTCTGTGTAGCTTGCACCTTATTTGATTCATTCACACGTGAAATGCCTGGTCTGGGCTTTTATAGCAAGTTGAAACAGGAAGTAAAACTCCCAACTGTCTCAACATGTCTGGACTTGATTTCCACATACCACATAGTTGCAAAGCTCAGCCTAATCCTTAACTAACCAAGCGTGTGAAGTAAGAAAATATAAGAAAACAAACCTTCACATCCGTTCAAATAAAACTGTATTTAGACAACAAATGTGTGCTCAGACTAAATGGGTGTTGAGCCATACTGTCACTGAACTGTGACTTATCAGAAACAGAACAGAGAAACAGGAAAAGGATAGAGACAATTCCAGGACACAACCAGTTATTATAATCAAGTCTTGACACATCTTTCTGAAAACAAATATTTTCTTGATCAGTAAAATATTTTTATGTGTCAGCCTAGTAATTTGGAGTATCACCAAACGCCCCTTGTACTTAGAGAGGTGGCGTAACACAGATTATTCATGTTTTGTGGGAGAAACATTTAACTCTTCCAGCAGGAGAGACTCATTGCGAGAGAGAAAGCGAAGGGCCAGAACAGCAGTGGCCAGCAGGGCTGCACATCGAGGAAGTAATGGGTGAATTCAGAGATGACGTCGTTTGGAGCGTGATATCCCTGCGATTTCAGCCTTCATTAGCCCCAGGCGTGTTTTCACATGGATACCCCTGAGGGCTCTCCCTTACTCCTTACAGCCGCACACATCTCCAGCCCAGGGCTCCAAGGACGGCCCCAGCAGGCACGGACACCTGGGCAGCGCTGCGGGCTCCCAGGCCAGGGCTTGAAGGTCGCTGCCAAGCCGGACCGCCTGCACCGAGCCGGGCTGGGCCGAGAGCGGCCGCTGCGGCCGCAGGGTTGATCCCCAGTACAGAGAGAAGCAGCCTCAGAGAGAGACGTGGCTCAATTCCCTGCCAGAAGGGTCCCCGCCCCCCACGGAAGCTGAAGGCACACACTGATGGCACCCCGCCCGCTCCGCGGCTCCCGTTGAAATCCCGAGAGCCCCTGGCGGCCCTCCCGCCGGCACGGATCCGAGCGGCCGCCGGGCCCGGCCCGGACACGGGACCGCGCGGCTCCGGCCCGCAGCGGAGCGGCCGCCGGCGGAGGAGCCACGCGGGGCGAGCGAGGGAGGAGGGGCCGGCGGCGGGCGGGCCCGGCGGGCCTGGTGCGCTGGGAGCTGTAGTCCGCTGCCGCCCGCTGCCGCGCAACCGGGAGCGGAGGAGGACTACAGCGCCCAGGGTGCCCCGCGGCGGCCCCGCCCCGCGCTGACTCGTGCAGCACGTTGTCCGGCTAACGCGCCCCGCGCCCGCTCCGCCCGCAGCGCCCCGGCCAGCGGCGGCTCCGCCGCTCCCATCGCCCGGCACGGCAGGTCAGCGGGGATGGGGGGCGGCCGCGCTGCCGCGTCTCTCCGGGCCGGGGGGCGGCGGGGCCGTGCTGGGGCCGACCCCGGTCGTGGCGGGCGCGTGCAAGGGGAAGCGGATGACGGGTGCCGCGGTTCTCCCGGTGCCCCGCAGGAGGGGAGGGTCTGCGAGCGGCGCGGCCGTGTCCCCTCGCTGTTCGCCCTCGGCACGCACCCGGCCCTGCCTCGCCAGGTGCCGGCCCGGAGGTGCTGCCGGGCAGCGGCCGCTCGGGCGGGCAGGGAGGTGGCCGGGGCGCGGCGGCCCTGCTCGCTCCCGGCGCTGGAAGCGCTCCCCGGGCCTGGCGAGAGAGTTGTAGCCAGGGCTGCTGCGGCGCTGCCCCGCCGGTGACCCCGCGCGCGGCAGGGCCGAGGGGCCTCTCCTCGCGAGCTCCGCCTCGCAGCTGGCGGGCTGAGGCCATCGGCCCCGCTCGAGGGGCGACAGGAGGCCGGTGCCGGTGCCCGGGGCGGCCCGCGAGGAGGCCCCGCGCTGCCCTGCCCTGCACTGTGCTGCCGACCGGGGAGCTGCGGCCGGGCAGGAAACCTGGGGGGAAATGCGGCTCTGGGGCCGGTTGTAAGGTCCCGGGCCCGCGTGTCTTCAGCTCCTTCGTTATGGCTGTTCACTGGTTTGGGGGTTCACAGACGTGGCACAAGGCTCCTGGTCCAGGTGTTGGGTGATAAGAGCGTGGGATTTGTTTGGTTCTGGCGGAAAGCTGCGGAAAAGCCGAAACTCACAGTTTTGGGGTTTTTTTGTTGTTTTTTTGGTTTTTTTTGTTTCTAAACAGTTGTGTCTTTTTTTGAATTCACCTCTGAAAATAGTTCAGCTTAACCTAGCTTTTGAACATAACTTGTGTCATAGGCACATAGGCATAGCCTGGGCTCTTCTCTTGAGGAAAGTACATTTTCTCATGCAGATGTCCATATAACAGAGGTATTTATTTTTGCCAGCTTTCCGGAAGAAAAAGAGTATTTTTCTTTGGTAAAACTTTGGAGAAAGTTGCAACTGGTGGGTTGGAAAAGTGAGAGAACGAGATAGTCTTTTACAAGTTAGATGCTGTTTCGCAAATGTGGTGGTGACAATACTAGTCTTAAAAAACACCCAGGGTGTCTGGAATGACACTTCTCCATTTTGTAGAGTTGTGTATCTGTGCAACTACTGTCCACCTCATTAATGGAAGTATTCCTTCTTAGAAAGCTAACAGAGTAATGCAAAAAAAATTTAAAAACCCAAACCAGATTCCAGAGGTTTCTCATCTGTATTTTAGTAGGGAATAGACCTTACACAGTAGGGGGAAAACGTATCCATTTAATTATTCTAAGCTAAATGAGTTTACTAATTAAAATATCCGGGTTGTGGCTGTGGCACTGCTGTTGGTGGCAGTAGACTTTAAAGATTCAGTAACTTGAATTGACTATTCTATTGTAAATTTCAATTTTAGGTTGCTTATTGTAAATGTCAGTCCTCACAGTGTCTGGCACTCTGGCATCTTAACTGTACACCACTTGGATATTGTGTAGCTTGAAGAGTTAGATTGATTTTTCAGTAAATTCTTTCTTCCATATGGTAAAAATGATGAAACATTGCTGCTGCTGCCACCACAACTGTGAATGAACCACGTGGTATTGCCGTCTATTTGTGGGAGAGTGCTTTTTTTAAAAGAATGCTTTTTGGAAAGCATCTTCTTGTTCCTTATTTGCTATTCAGGAAAAGTGCAGAGAGAGATTTGGGACAGTCTTTGAAAATGTAGAAATGAGAGCAGGCCAGAGATAAGTGTGCTCCAGATTTAATGGGAGTGGTGTGTAACTGTGTCTGTCTGAAGTGATATCACAGCATGTGCTTTGCCAGCCAGTGGTGGTAGGAAAGAAGGATTCTGTAGCTCTCCCTGTCCTGTGGGGAGACAGGACACTGGCTGTCTTCCATAGATGATTTAGTATAAAATCTGACCAATATATTCTCTTGGTGATAGTTGTTACTAGATTAGAAACATATTTGCAAATACCTATGTGACTTGAATCTGAGATCAGACCTTCAGTTATTGAATGCTTTTTTAAAGGCCCATTCGAATTTCAGATGGTTTGAACATGTTAGTTAATACTGCGGTTCTGTATTTGAAATTAAAACTTTTGTAGTGAAAACTCTTTTTTCCCTTTCTAATAAAGGACTAGGGGAACATAACTTTAATATTAAACCACAGTTTATGGATTTGTATGAAAACATGCATGCACTCAGTGACAAGTTCTCTTCCTGTACGCTTCTTTTTCTCATAATAAAAAAAAAGGTAGGGGAGCTCTTTTCTACTCCTGCCTCCTTCCTTCCCTTGCCTTTAGTCGACCTGTCTTGCAGTTTTGATTGAAATCGCTGAGGGATGCAGCATCTTAGCATGTCCCCATGCAAGAATTTAAATGTCCTGATGACCCTGCCTATCAAGCACTGCACTGGAGCTCCAGGAGTGTATCTTCCAGTGGGTAAGCCCTTCAGGCTGTGTGCTGAATAACTCTGTCTCTGTTGATAGTGCAACGTCCTGCTCCTATGTTGAGAGTGTGTCTATCTCAGGAAGGGAGTGCACGCTTTTGAGACAGAGCAGGAGCCTACACCACAGCGGAACAACAGCACCATGACTGCTGGTGGAATTGAAGAAAGTGTCCAATCACCTGTGTGCTGCTGCATCTGGAGATGCTGGTCTTGCCTTGCTAGGGTGCATATCTTGCATGTGGCACTGGTAGCTGCCCTTCAGAAGGACAGCCAGACAGCCGGTTACAGTAGCCTGGAAAGAAGGCCTGTGTGTGAGGAGCTGGGATCAGGAGTTGCTTGCTGAGGGGTTTTCTTGTGTGGGGAGCTGGGATCAGGAGTTGCTGAGGGGTTTTCTCATTTCTTGGGAGGGCAGCAGATAGTCATGGAAATAGAGGTGGTTTTTGTTGGTGTTTTTTGTATATATATATATCAGTATCAGGAACAGTGTGGCCAGCTGTAGCAGAGATGTCACCCTTCCCCTGTACTCAGCACTGGTGAGGCCACACCTCGAGTGCTGTGTCCAGTTCTGGCCCCTCAGTTTGGGAAGGACATTGAGACACTGGAGCGCATCCAGAGGAGGCAACGAGGCTGGAGAGGGGCTGGGAACACAAACCCTGTGAGGAACGACTGAGGGAGCTGGGGGTGTTCAGCCTGGAGAAAAGGAGACTCAGAAGTGCCCTTATCACTGTCCGCAATTCCCTGAAAGGTGGCTGTAGCCAGGTGGGGTTGGTCTCTTTCTCCAGGCGGCAACTGACAGAATGAGAGGATGCAGTCTCAAGCTGTGCCAAGGGAAAATACAGGTTGGATATTAGGAAAACGTTTTTCATGGAAAGAGTGATAAAGTTCTGGAATGGCCTGCCCGGGGAGGTGGTGGAGTTGCTGTCCCTGGATGTGTTTAAAAAAAGAGTGGATGTGGCACTCAGTGTTGTGGTTTAGTTGAGGTGTTAGGGCATGGGTTGGACTCGATGATCTTTAAGGTCTCTTCCAACCTAGTCATTCTGTGAATATACTGAATTGGTTAGGTGCAGAGTCCTTTACAGGTTAAATGAGTGGTTCGACAGCTGGATGAACTTGCAAGTAGAACAGCTTTCCTGTGAGTGTGTCAACAGTACTGAATTGTTAGTGTTATCATGGGGCTTCTGTGACTGCAGGCTGGAATTTGCTACCCTGGAGCTTTCTCTCTGAGGAGTTTTTCTTCAGTTCTCTGCCACAATAGAGCTGTATTTCTTTACTTGTTGCCAGAAGATGGGCTCATGTCATGTAACTGCTTTCAGCTTTGTATTCACATAATGATTTTGAAGGAGTCAGCTTGTTCACAGATAGTGTTTGGAGAGTAGAATGAAAGGGACAGGCAAAAGAACACTACTGACAAATAATGTGCTTGGCAGTTGGGCAAAATTATTTGTCCTCTGAAATCCCAATTTTAGCATCATAAGGATCGTGTTTCAAAATGTTTATAACAAGAGTGAATGTGTCTGCTGGTACTTTTGAGATGCAGCAAACAGCCATTGACACCACAGAATTTCTTCACTTGTTTCCTTTGCTTGCTGCTTTTAGGTAATGAACAGAGTGGAAGAGCTGCTTCTTGTAGAACTCCATACACGTGCAGCAGCTGTGCTATTTTCCTCCTGTTCTGCTTGGGAGTGTTTTGCAGAGGATTTTCCAAAACCAGAAGTATCACTTTGTTCATAGCTTTATGTGGCCCAGAGGGAGATGTACTGATAGCTTACCCTGAGCAGCTGGATACAGGAAAGTCAATAAAATTATTTTGGTTCTAGATCTTTGCTGAATTCACGTAATTCACATTGGAATGCAATAGGAAGGTGACTTGAATAGATGTTTAGGGTCTAAAAAACTGCCAGTTTCTGAGTGGCTGTCCAGACCTGAGCCGCATCACTGTGGTCTTTCTGTCCCATGTTTCTAAATTTAGCAGTATATTTGTAACCTCTGCAACCTCTTAAAAGAGTAAGGATTTGGGCTAATGTTTGTTCATAAATCTGCAATGCAGTGCATTAGCGTCCTGATTCACCTCATACTTACTCATTTCATCAAGTAGCCCCAGTCAGTGTAATTAGCAATAACTTGTAAAACCACAGAGCATATGAGAATGCCGTCTTGTCTTTCACCCATAAACGTGTTTTTAGTGTCCCAGGCCACACATGCTCATGTTTCAACACCTCCTTTCAAGCAAGATGAATGTAGTTGTCTTTGACTTTGATGTTTTAACTACCAAAGCCTGCAAATGGACATTGACTCTAGTGTGCAGGTACCTGAGTTTAGGCTGCATATGTCTGCACAGTTCCTTTTGCAGGAAAACCTCATTGATGCTCAGAGGGTAAAAATACGTATTTTGAAATTTGTGAACTTCTGAGTCGTGAGAAACCAGAGCCATGCTCTACAACCATCTGTGATTACAGAACCAGTTGCTCAGTTGAGTTTCAAAGGCGTGGGTTTGTGTCAA